GGAAAACACAGCTTAGAACGTTGAACGATGACTAAGTCTGTGTGGTTGAAAGCTTAGGGCTTGATTTGGTCCATTTTTTAATGGGGAAGATAATTGCTAGTCTTGATTTAAGAGAAACCTATCAAGACGCATTCTGATGCCTGATTTGACTCGATGACTAGCCACCATACTTCGTTACCTCTTTTCCGGTTAATATCTGTCCTCCAAGACATCGTGACTACATAGATGTCTACAGCTGGAGATGCTCTTTGCTACATGATTGACCTAGGAAGTACTGAAAGATAATGAAACAGTTTTTAAATCAAAGATCTCCTTGTTGACAAGCTAGTAATCTGAATCCTGTAGTCACTGCATTGATTTTTTACATATCGTTACTAGACAATTTGCCCAATGTGTGATCACTCGATTGGGAATTGTTGTAATGGGCCAATTGATGTAGGATGAATATGACTGATGCGGATGGAATGAGTAGGGAAGACAATGGGTAAATAACAAGCCACGAAACTTACACACGATTGGATCTGAACCTTTGAAAACCAACTGTGATGAGGTGAGAAGACCATTATGTTCCTCGATCAAGGGCGGAAGGACTGTCTCATGTCACCGTGATAAAACAAAGCTCCACGTTTCAAAAAATCTTAGTTGACCTCCAAATAGGGAAATCACAGCCCACTCGACTGGTCTCGAGTCCACACAGCTGAATCCGATGGCGGTGGAACACATATGAGGAAAGACGGGATGAAATCAAAACACACGATCACTAGAGAGGGTTGAGAGGGGACCTTCGGCGTTTGCACGTCGCAATGTTGACGCCGATGGTAGGGAGGAGGACCAGCCCGTCGCGGATCCAACTACGCGGTTAGTTGGCGGGGGGGGTGGGCGTCAAAGGGGGAAGCTGCCCCCTTGCGGGGCTCGGGGCAGCGCCCCGAAACCTAAATCCGATGCTGGACGGAGCAGGGCACGTAGGGTGTGCACAGTCAACGTGCAGGGCAGAAGGCTGGTGTGCAGGGCGAGTCCCCGTGGCGCGTCCACCATGCATGGGACGCACGAGACACGAGAGCGCCAGTGGGAGGTTCGTACGCGGCACATTGCCGGCACTCCGAGGAGCGCTGATTGACACGTTGTCGGGCACACGAGTGCTGATAGAGAGACCCGTCGGCGACGACAAAGAAGGTTGACCACAGGGTGGGGGGGGGGGGGGCCCACGGACAGCGGCGGCTACAGGTAGTAGCAGTCACACGGATCCCATAGGGCACGATCTCTCGTATAAGAAAATTCTTATGAAGATCAAAACCATCGTTCAATAGAAACTGTAGGCCTATTTATAGGCCTCAGGAGGAGAGAGAGGATTACAACCTAAAGTAAATAAAAGAAAATCAAATATGAGCAAATCCTAATAGAAATAGAAGTCCGGATCTGGAGCTCGGGTCTGCCAGCGGCGACGTGGAGTGGCCTTGATGGTTTGTGGGGTCTCCGGAGGAGGTGCAGTGGAGTCCAGTGACGTCATGGTCGCCAATGGTGGGGCTAGGGTCCATGCCGCACAACCAGTTGCGAGTCCTTCACTCCTCACGTCTGGGTAAGGCAACTGAGTAATGCATGTTTGCATTCATCTGTGTCCAAGATAAATGATTTCGATTTCAAACACTACCACGTTAATTATCTAAAATATTATTTTCAGGTAAATTTCCAGGTGTATGCGCACCAAAGCCAGAATTTCGTGATTGGCCAGTGGGAATGTCTCATGCTCCACAGAAAAGGCTCAGGCTGCTGGGTAAGCCATGCCTGAGCCCACAGGGGTTTCAGGATCATCGACAGTACAGATCACTGCACAATTCCTGTATGAAAGTTGATGTACTAGTTTTCTAACTCTTATCCCAGGATAATATACAACATGTACGGTTCTGAATATGAGATCGGTCATTGCCTAGTGGCCACATCCAACATTGCAACACAGGCTTGGATCAGGTAGATGATGAAGTCATGTTTGGATTCCATAATATACATTTCGTAATTGATTTCATAATAATACCAAGGATATCATATTCCGAAAATGGCTCCTTAAAAATCCACTTCCTCGTGTTTGTGGAGGAGGTTGGAGATTCTACAATGCTCTTGGCTGCTGCAGCCAGTCCTAGTATGGCATTATCCTCGGAGCAATACGCCAGCAACTCTTAGGAAAGAATCAACAATCTGTGTTTTTTCTATCTTAAATTAGTTAAAGACCAGCGTTTTATGGTTGCTAACTTGTGTTCATATGAACCTAAAAAGTAATTATACAAGATCTGTTAAAGGGAACCTATTCTTTATAAGTGAGTTTTACCAGAAATTAGTCTGATCCCTTTCAGTCACCATCCAGAAGTGACAAAAACAAAAGAATTGTAAACAGGCTTGTAACACCTCTTATTATGGAAAACAGGATCAAAATAAAATTATACTGATACCATGGGGAAACAACAGGTTGTTTCATAAAATGTCTCCTAGAATGCATTCTAAAACATCATTTTAGTCTAGAATATTGATTACTTATTTACCGTGAAGCATAGCTTTTCAACATCTTACTTTAAAACGACATAGCATGAACAAGTGTATCAAACCATTAAATTAGATGACCATACTTTACATTCTAACCGTATTTTTTAAAGAGAATTTCCAATTATTTATTAAATATTTTCAGTAAAATCATGTAAAAAACAGGTGTGGATATTTAGCGATCATTTGGAAGCTCAAATCTTTTGTCATCCAGCTGAGCTGAAGCTACACTTGACAAGTAACATCAACTCATTAATCGTTATTATTCACTTGTAAAAAGAAAAAAATCGTGTAATATTATCTCTAATACTCTAAATAGATCGGAGAAATATCAGCATCTACCAACTACTATTGGAAACAATTACCCCCCTCTATTTTTTAAGAAATTCATGGCCCATCCAGTGAGCAGTAAACACGTCGCTTTTGCGGTAACCCTAGCAATTAGCATAAGATGCAAACAGCTTTGGAAACTCTAACTGCATCATTCTATGTAGTTGCTGCTCCTTCGGGAAACCCTCGCCACCTCATGCTGTTTTCCTCGTTTCTCACATTTCCTCAAATACGAGCCAAAGAGCCCAACAAGGGTTTCTCAACCTCTAGCCACCTCATTCTCCTCCGTCCTGGTCCCCATCTCAGTCTTGCCATTTCTCCTCAAGAAAGTTGTAGCAGAACCTCACATCAGTATTATCCCCTGGACCATTCTGGTGGATCGTTCTTAGGATACTTTTGTGATTGTTTTGGTGATATAGCCTTTTATGGATAAGAGTAATCCGAATGGGAATCAACAGTCAGAAACGTCCAGCCTACATATCGGAGTTTTAAGATAATCTTTTCGAATTAAAGGTATTACTTCAGTTAAGTTTCTTATTCATTATTTAGCTTCAGGTCGTAAAAGCTGTTTCGAGTTTCATTTCCTTCTGAGAAAATTTCGTTACATCTATGTTGTTTATTCAAGACATACACTCCTTACCGATTTTTCACCTGACCCAAATTGTTGATGATCATTCAGTCCTTCAAGGACACAATGAGTTTTAAGACATTGCTAAGTACAAATAATATTGCACTCAGTCCTTTAACTGAAATAAATATTCAAGGGCTCAACACAAAGCAAGATGGTTATAAGTCGATGAAAGTGAGAATTCTTCATCTCGATGAAATAGTTTTCACAGGCTCTCTAATTGAATATATTTTTAGTATTTTTTTCTCAAATGATGATGTCACTGATGAGTACATAAACTGTGATGTTATTTTCTCTGTTGTGTGATCTATTTTCTGTTTATAATACAGATACAATCACTCGCTCTTGTATTGGTACATGTTGGGTGTTATATTGCAGCCTGGTGATTATGTTTTTTTACTAATCGCTCCCTCTTGACGGCTAAACTCTAGTAGGTAGATTACGATATTTCGGATACAATTTCTATAATGATCCTGCCATCTGATCAATTCCTCTCCAAGTTCCACACGGGTTCTTGCTCATTAAGGTTCCAGTAAATCCTCGGTGAAATACACATTTGATTGCCTCTAACAAAGAAGAGAGTGTAGTTTCTTTTTGATGAGCCACTGATGCTTACGTAAACCTTTAGGGAGTGCATAAGATGCATTCATTAAACTAATCACAGGACATTTTTTCTTAGTGAGATATATAAGCATCGACGAAAGATAATGGTTCAATGTCGCACACATTATTTCACATTTTAAATGAGAATATAAATCAATAGTGCAAAGAAAGCAAGCACATAAAAGCCCAAACATCTGGTCCTACCAGCCTACAACCCAAGCATTAGAATCAGCAATTTCAATTGTTCAGATGACCTCGATGGGGTCGACACCTGTCCCATCTTCAGGGCATCAGCCATCTGCTCTGCCTAACGTGGGGGTAGGCCGCCCCGATAAAGGAATCGGGCAACGAGATCCTCCATGGGGGGTCCTTCGGCGCCCAATCCATTGAGGTTTGTCCCTGGCTGCTCTTGCAATGCCAACGGTGGAGTGGATGGAGTATTCGAGAGCAGCGTGCGGCACTGATTGTAGCGTTCATTCAACAATTCGTGAACCATTGCTTGCATCCTGAGTAGTGACTCTGTGTCAACACTTTCGATTTCAGCACCAATGAGCCCACCGTAGACCTGAAACATGGCTTCTATTTGATTGATCTCGCCATTCTTCGTCCTCAGCTTTTTGCTCTTCTTGTCCACCATTTCCTGCACGCAGATTTCAAGGATTTCCTGTCACTTGTCAAAGCCTGTGGCATTGCCTTTGTCAGACGTTTCATGCACGTCTTCTTATCAGACAATAGACACAACTTAAATAATTCCTTGGTAATTCAGTGACTTCCCTCAACCTTCCAGAAATATTTTTCACTTTAATCATTTACTTTTTCTCAATATAAGGAAAAATGTAAAGACTTTCCACAATAGCTTAATGGATAAAGCCTATTTGTATGCTTCAGTGAAAACTATATGTGCCCCCGATCATTCCTTAAACACATTCAAAAGGCTTGTTGTCAGATTATCGGTTACCCATTTCAGTATCTGGTAATCTACCTGAATGAACTGCACGTTGGTGAGCATAAGATTAGCTCTGTTGAACTTCGGCAGCTGCTTGAACCTCCTACACATTTCCACTGCCTGTTCGATGTTTGGAAACACCTCTGGTTGTTCCTCGTTGGGGCTGAAGATGAGGACGCATGTCTGCACATCGCAGAGGATGTGCAACTCCTCTGCCTTCTTTATGATACCTCTCCTTCTCTTCTTCAATGTTGCCCGCCTTCGAGCATCATCCTCTAGCCATCGGATCCTGGTCTTTTTTCTTGGAATGAAGATTCCCCCGGTGCATCTGTCGCGTGCCTGAGGGAGAGGGGGCAATGGTGGGTGCATGATAGGACCTAATAGGTGAGGGTTCATTCGGGGATCCTCCATGGTTATCTCTAGCAAACGCACTTCTCAGAATTGCTTTAATAGAGATAATGGACGAGGAGGAAGCCTATATTCTGGGGGGCTATAAATGGGTTTTTTAGTCTCTTATTTGTTCTTTGTTGGTATAAACACGAGTTGAAGCATTTATTAGAAAGCAATGTTCCGAGATTCATCTCACCCTTTGATTTCAATTTTGAGGATATGGATTATGTTGTCATAGTATTCTAGTCCACTAAAGACTCGCAGAAAGGATCTCTTATGAATAAATTCAAAGGAAATCTAGAAGTAGAAAGAAATCTGTGGCCCAAAACACCTCTTACCACTTGGCTTAGCTTGACCCAAAACATAATTTCCTTATTTCAAGCTTATTGTTTACTGCCTGCAAGATTCTCGCATAGAGGGGCCTTAAATACCTACCTGAGAATAATTACTATAATATTTTACTGAATCTTTTGTATTAAATGTTGCCAAATGTGCTCGTCCTTTTCGAATCACAATAACAAACTATAGGTTCGATGTGTGAAGCATGTAGAAGATAGAAGTGGACAGTGAGATTACATCACATTACTGATTTAGATTTAAAAATAAATAAGGGATACGAACAAGAGGACATGTTACCTCGAAATGGTTATGAAACATAATGAACAATCAACACCGATTGAAGCATAATGCTTTTTATTAATAATAGAGATATGGCTGCAACAGTCTCAAATGTGGAATGGTGGGCTCTAATTATTGCCAACCATTTTTAGTTAAGATTGAAAGCTCTGTTTAGACACTTTGAGTGTTTTTTTTAGCTGGCATAAAAACAATACTTCGACAAAGACTATCTAGCTTTCAATTAGTTGATTTTTGGGGGAAAGTTCCTTTGAAACAGAAACTTTAGATGGTATAAGCCGATGATTGGGTAGGCAGGCGATAGGAACATGCTACTGTGGCGTTGGAACTAGGCCACCTTAGGAAATTATAAAAGATTAGAAAGGTTCATAATGAATACGTTCTTGGTATATTCTTAATAAAAAATGTTCATCTTAAGTTAATTTTAGAAAACTTTTCTCCTGCTCCACTCTCAATCTTCCATCTCGTAGTTAACCTTGTTATTTTTCGAACAGTAGCACAATTTTGCCATGATTCTGTTTGTCTACAATCTTTCTTATCCAATTTCTTTGTTAATCTCACACTAGGGAAGTGTAAATTATGGCAAAATAGTTATTTAGCGGTAAAAGTTTTAGTTTTTGGAAACGAATTTAATGTCAGAAGAAAATTAATGAAGCAAATTATGCAGTGCCTTGAAGTAACAGCTATAGACAACATTATTTGTTGATCGCATGGTTTTAGGCTAAATCAGTGCATAGACTCAGAATCTCCTATGGATCCGTATTTTGGAAGCAGTATCTCACGGGTTAAATAGTTCAGCATGTCGAAGAAAATTTAAATCCCTCCTAGTGACGCATTTTATGTGGTATTTTAGGCTTACAAGTACTGAAGTTTTTATTTCATTTCTTATCTTATATATTTAATTTAAACCCACCTGAATCATCTATCATGTTTGTAAACATTTCCGTTACAAGCGAGAGGGAATCTCTCAGGGATTATCAAAAAAATGTGACGCCAAAATCTTAGTGTTATTTCAGAATTCTAATCAGGATTGGAGTAATTACCATTTTTTGGTGATTCCGTTGACAAAGTCGCTATATAATAGAAGAATATCTACTGATTAAAGGAAAGTGAAACTTGTTGTGATAAAGTCGGTGACTGACTTTCTCATTATTCCTTGGAAACTTTGTATGACGTAAAGTCTAATCAAGGTCTTACCGTTTTATTCATGAAGAAGAAATCAGTTGGAGATCCATCAAACATAGATTACTGTTAGCAGGAAGTCCGTTTTTCTCCTTTCATCTACAACCCAATCGGCAAATTAACCAGTCCAATAACCGCTCGCTTGTTTCATCTAAAAATTCTATATTTCATGCCAACTCCAAAAAGATACACGATAGTTGTATACAAAGTAAAAGTCTGAAGTGAATGCCAAGATCATCAAGAAGTTATGATATTTTGTTAGCAACTGTTCCATATATTTTGCTTGCCATTTGTAGAGCAGAGCGAGTGGCGGACTAGGTCCTTATACTTCTGGTATTTTATGGACCAAAAGAAGGAAGTGTGAAAGAGACAAGGAACTAAGACACAAAGGACTTAGTCGTAGGATGTTATAACAAATGGCTCCAACAATCACTAATGGTGATGCAGCACTACTCCCAGGTGGTATTCACCTGAATCTAAATCTCTTCTTTTAAAATGGTAATGCAGCATTTAACAGCTACTTAACGTCACCGTCCCCGGCACTCAGGCATGGTAAGCTGTTGGATTTAGTACGATATCCATTAAAATTTCCACATTACTGATGCATGGCCGATAGTCTTTTCGGATCAAGCCGGAAATCAAGAAATTGTGCTTCGGATCAAGCTAGGTGAGGTGGTATGAGTAGTTCCTGGTCACAAATTTCTTTCTACCTCTTCGTTTCCTCGGAATTCACTCACAAGTGATCCTTTGTGCCGATCTTTACTAGAAAAATGTGTCTTAGAACACTGACGATTGTTGACAACGTGAACCGTGTCACAGAAATTTTAAGTCAAAGAGTAAAATGGATCTTGTAAGGTTGCTCGTTCGTAAATGCTTAAAATCGTGTTTTATACCAACACAGCCCCCCACCCCCCGCCTGCCCAGCCCAACTGAGGATAATAACTTTCTCCATTTTCTCTTCTAAGGAAATCCTTAGGAGTGCCGTTTCTGGTAACCACAGAGGATGTACGAGTAAACCCTTACCTATTAGGCTCCGTCATGCACCCATCATTCCCCCTGCTCCCTCGGGCGCCACACAGACGCACTTGGGCAATCTTCCTTCCCAGGAAGAAGATCAGGATCCGGTGGCTAGCGGACGATGTTTGAAGGCAGGCAACCGTCAAGAAGAGAAGTAGCGGTATCATTAAGAAAGTCTAGTATTTGTGCATTCTCTAGGATGTGCACACATTTATCATCATCTTTAGCCCTGACGAGGACCATTTGGAGGTGTTTCTGAGCTTGAACAAGCAGTGGAAATTTGTAGGAGGTTCAAGCAACTGCTGGATTTTGACAGGGCTAACCTCATGCGTGCCAACATGCAGTTCATTCAGGTAGGAAACTAGAGACGGAAAGGGGCGATGGATATTCTTTCAACAACCCTTTTTAATGTATTTGAGGAATGACTTGGGGACGCATACAGTTTCTATTCAAACATAAAAAATGCATACTTTCATCCATTAAACTATTGGGGAGAGTCCTTACAGTTCTATTGAAATTTAGAAAATTAATGATTAAAATTGAAGATGATTTCAAGATGGTTGAGGGCACTAGCTGAATCACCAAAGAACCATGTAATCAGTGTGTATTGTCCGATGAGAACGCAAGGATGAGAATTTAATGAAGGCAATGTTACTGCTTTGACTAGTGACATTGAATTCCTCAAGATCTACATCCAGGAAATAAATTCAGTGGATGAAGAACGACAAGAGTAATGAAATAGAAACCATGCCACATATCTACTGTGCGCATATCGGTACTGAAATTGAAAATCTTGACACAGTTACTGCTCAGGGTGCAAGCAATGGTCCAATGATTGCTGAACGAATGCTACAAGCAGTGGGCCACACTGCTCTTGAAGGATCCATTTACTCCACCATTGTTGGCAGTGCAAGAGCAGCAGAATAACACTCTAGGGAAGATTTTGTCGTCCGTTTCCTTCAGAAGGAATACATACCCGAAGTTAGGTAGAGCAGATATCTCATGGCTTGAGGAGGTGAGATGGTGTCAACCCCACCTAGGAAATATGAACAATTGAGATTAGTGAATCTAATTTTTGGTTTCTGTCCGGGTTGGATTGTGTGAGGAGATGGTTCTCTTCATATAATATTTCTTGAACTGTATGATGGTATTAAATATTTTATCAATAAATATTTTTTCTAGTATGCAAACCATGAAATAGTATAACATCCATCACAGCATTGTCACTCTAAAGAGATAAGTGTAGACATGTGACTAGTCTAAACTTTTAATGGATCAAAAAAATTCATGCTCTCTGAAAGATTAAACCAGGCATGAAAAATAATACATTCTCAACATCTTGGCGGCATAATTGAAATTTGTACTGTAATAATGAAAACATGTCTATATGAAAATCTGTTAACTCCTAATTCGTTTCCTTAATCATTGAAACACAAAATTTAAGCCTTGAAAACAAACAATCGTAATTACGATAAAACATGTACTAGGGTGCAAATTTTTGTTTCCATCTGTACAAATTTATTAAAACATCAATATAGGTTGAAGGCCTAAAATACATTCTTATCGTCTCTGAAAACTAGACTAATTCAAGCCTAGTAAGGCTGTAGAGGAATTCACATAATACATTGTAATGTACTTGTTCAGGAGATGGTCTAGGCTACATAAGCAAAATTTGACTCCTTAATGTTACATATTTGTGGTTTATCTGGTCAATAATTTAAAGGCTGTATCCAACCAAGTTTTTTGAAGGTAGCATCTTTGATCTTCTATTGATGACCGTCCTTCTAAATCATATGAATCTAGTTGATCCCGTATACTCTTCAAGATAGTGAAATATTATGCAATCATCATCATTCCTCATTTTATCTTGCAAATATTATTGTTCAATTGGTAGTGATGATTCATATCATATTTTTTATCATACATTGCCTCTAGAGTCCACATCCCTAATCAATGTTCTTATGTATAATCACTTGTACCAACTAAATTTAACAACAATGACATAACATAATTATGGGGAATAAGACTTTGTAATGTGGGTCTGTAATTAGAGGCTTAACACTTAAAAAAAAATATTCAATTTTTTCAGACATTCAATATATAAACATCTAACACAGATAGAAACGAAAACAAGCAAATAGAAA